GCCAAAGGCTAGAGACCATTCCCAAGGCTTCTCCTTAAATACAGGAAGCAGACCACATCCCAAAGGCAGCTACTCAGCTGCTTGTGGTAGATCCCACGATGGAGTTGATTGCCAGTCTCATCATGAGGCATAACTACCACCAGCTGCCCAGTCACTCAACCAGGCCTAGCCAAGTTGATACACAAACATAACTACCACAGGCCTATAAGGTGAACGGTGGCACCAAACCAAACCAAGCCAAACCCACTGCTGTTGAGTCGGATCCCACGGTTTCCAAAGTGGTATCACTACAGAAGTAGATTGTCCAGCCTTCTGAGGAGGGGCTGGTGGGTTTGAACTGCCAGCCACTCAACCAAATGAGATAAAAAAGGCAGCATTTGCTAGGGGAAGGAAGGGTTAGGAAAGAAGGACAAAAGGAAATAGGAAACACAGGAAGAAAGTGGGAAGAGTGCTGTTACATTGTGGGGATTGCATTCAATGTCACAAAACAAAGTCTATGATCAGTTGAATGGAAAACCAATTTTCTCTGTAAACCTTCACTCAAATCACAAAAAAAGAGTTTTAAAAGAAAGAAAAGAAATATTACTCCAGAGGAATTTCTCCAGGCTTGCTAGTGAATTTAGATTTAGGATTCCTAACATATTTTATTAAAAATAATAAGTCAGGCTAACTTGCCACTTTAAATCATATAATAATTTATTCTAAGGGTTTTTACAAAATACTTTATGACAATTATACATACATAGGAAGTACAGCATAATTTAGCAATTTATATTCTAATAAAAACTTTGTTGCAAAGCATGTCTGTGAATACTCTTATGCTGCTTTCATATAGCAAAGTTATAAGAAAAACAATCATAGGTGAAGTTTTGTTGTTGTTGCTGTTTGTTTAACATATTCTATTGTAAAATACAGGCTTGAGACCTATTTTAGGATAGAATTAAGACAAAGTCAAGAACTGAATTCCACCTCTGGCCAGTAGGTGGCACCAAAGCACATTTGAGACTGTTTCAACAGAAAGGAAAAGGAGAGCAGTTTGTCAAGGCAGAAATACATGCAATAAATTCAGTCTTATACAGCCTTAACAAAGAATTTAATATCTTAATACACATTACTCTATAAATAGTTTTAGTGAGGCCCTACTCTTTATCATCTTTGATTTTCTGGCTTTTATTTCTCCTTAAGACTATCTTCTGTCATAATTTTCCACAATCTACTTATTTACAACTCCTGCAAGGGTTTTCAATGACCAAGTGGCAGGCCCTTCTCACTGTAGCACAAGGTTGTGGTGTGAAACACATGGTGACAAATTAGAAAATTCTGCTTGTTAGCAACACTGCACATTAAATATTTTTGGCAGCCGAAAGAGTTTGATTTTCCTAATTGGATCATATATCATTAATGGAATTACAAGTAAGTTACATTTAAATTTGTCATTATAGGCAGTCCCCAGCTTATGAACATCTAACTTACATACAATCTGTACTTACAAACCAACCCTCACAAAGCCTATTATATTAAAAATTTGAGGTACATACAATGGTTCATAATAACAAGTGGCCACTACTCTGGGATGTGCATCAAAACATTATTATAATTGTTGTTGTTGTTGTTATGTGCCGTCAAGTCGGACCCGACTTATATTATTACCATCTTATTATGTTAAAGATGTTTTAGTGTATCTGGAAGTGTTTCTTTAATTTTTTTTTTTTTTTTTTTATGCACAGAAAGGTACACTATATACTATAGAAAACATTTGACTGATGTTATAGATGGACCTTACCTAACTGCTCCTACTTACACACAAATTCAACTTAAAGACAACCTTAGGAACAGAATTCATTCATAATCCATGGGCTGCCTGCATTTAAATTCCATGGGCTTTGTAACAAAAAAAGCACATGCAGGTTGATTTTAACACGCTGTGTAATATTCTTTAGTAGATACAATAGATAGTGAGTGAGGATCTCTATCCATGTAGTCAGATTTTCAAGATCAGATGCCAGATGTTTGGAAGTTTTCAGTGAGGTGCCAGTGGACTTTGGGCTCATTTGGAAATCTTGGCAATCAACAGCATTCTGAGGGGCAGTGTTGCTTCAATCCAAGTATTGGGGGAGTCTACCATCTTCTCCCAGAGAGCAACTTCCTCGGAAGTAGAATCCATCCAGTCTACTTCAGTACCATAGCTTTTACCTGAAAAAAGGAAGCTTTCACATTTAGAAAGGAATAGCTCATTGGAATTAAAAAAAAAAGGGGGGGGGTCATCCCTAAGTATATTTGCCAATGGGAAACAGCTAGGCTGAGTTTTAGCATTTTCAGGAGAGAAATATGGGATTCACTATAAACAAGAAATTTTTAACTATCTATAACATCCAATAATGGGGCATCTCATTACTACAATTACTTCCATTATTTCCAGAGCAATAGCTTCTCCACATTAATGGAAAGGCTAGATGACAATTCATTAATGGAATAGGAGAATGAAGAGGATTCCTGGATAGAGTTGGAGCTGATACTAGGTAATTTCTAAAGAAGTATGGTTAAGGCTTTAGTGTTTAAAAGACTAAAGTTCTAATCCTAACTCTGCTACTTACTAACTCTATTTCTTGGAACATCAGTTCCTCTTCTGTAAAAAGCAGGAAACATTAATTAGTAACTATCTCATAAAGTAGTTGTGAGGATTAAGTGAAATAATGTAAACACAGCATTTAGCCCAATGCCTGGAACATAAGTAAACCAAACCCACCAAACCAAACCCACTGCCAGTGAGTCAATCATGGATCACAGCAACCCTATAGGACATAGTAGAACTGCACCATAGGTTTCTAAGGCTGTAAATCTTTACGGGAGCAGGCTGCCACATCTTTCTCCCATGGTGGGTTTGATCCACCAGTCTTTTGGTTAACAGCCAAGCACTTTAGACACTGTACCACTAGGGCTCCTTACAATATAAAAAGTGCTCCATAAATTATTATTCAAAGCCCAATTTTATCCTTGAAGTACCATAATTTGGGGGCAGAAGGAGAATAGGTAGTGATGAATGCTTTTCTGTTCCCTCCCCCAATAATATAAACTCTGTGTGGACAGACACTGCACCCTGTTAATCTTCATATCTAAAGCCCTGTGTACATCGACTGACATTCCTTCACTTACTCATTTTACTACATTTAACAGAAACAGGCTATCTGTTTTCATTAGGAAGAAACAAAACAACAAAAATCAATAGACAAAAGTATCCCCAGAAAAATTTGGCTCATGAAGAATTAATAACAATAAATATTACCTGTTCCAAAGCCAATCCGAAGACCTCCCAAAAACTGGTTAGTTAATTTGTAATGATCCCAGACAGTAAGCTCAACACAGGCTTCGGTCAGATCTTCAGGCCTGAACCCATCATACACCATGGTGTGGTTGAAGACAGGGTTGGTGGTTTTCCCCACAGCTCTCGTCTTCTGGCGACTCTTCCTACTCGTATCTGGAAGGATGGTACTACAAGAAGAGGCATTGTTGTGAGAGCACTTAACGAGACAGGGAACATTTATACTTTCAATATACTTCACATAGCTAGTGAAGACTGGCAGTGTGGAGAGAGTGTGGGAGCATCCTGCTGGAAAACTCTGGGCACAGAATTGGCCAGACTTGGTTTGAATCCTGACACTGCCAAATATTGGCTGTGTATTCTAGGAGGAGTTACTTAACTTCTCAGACACTCAACTTCCTTCTCTATAAAATGGGATAGTGATACCTACTTCATAAAGTTGATATTGGAATTAAATAACACATGCAAAACATTTAGTTCTGTGCCTGCATTTAGTAAGTACATTTAGTAAATGGTATCAACTGCTTAAAAGACTGCTTTAAAATTTGGAAGGACAGTCTATTCATGATCATGTATGATAACCTGAAGAATTAGTGTTGTACAGAATGGAAAAAAGAAGAGATACCTCTCTAATTTATTAGATTTGATTTTGGAATAAATTCATGTTTCATTTTTGATAACTGAATGAACTTTAATCTAGCATGTTTCTTATAAAGGTAAGAAAGTCTGAGAGTAGTCTCAGAATAGGAAACTGACATGAGCTAAAAAATCTTACCAGCTGACATTTATGAAGAGTATATATAGGGAAAATCATAAAGGACATTATATA